GTACAGCAGGAGAAATCGAACAGATAGACACAAATCGAAAAAAGCCTGTCACACAAAAACACAACAATACGTTACATCTCTACAATAAAACAGAAAAAAGTCAACCTATCCAATTGGACCAGACTTTTAGGTGCTTACATCCTTTGTAATTCATTCCAATTATTTGGCCCAAGCACTTGAAGGCTGCTCCGTCCAGTATTTACTCGAGCTCTATCAGGTGTTAGCCAGTCCTGTGATCTGGTCTGATGAACAGTCGCTATCATTTGAGACGAGATGTGATTGGAGGACACATTTACAAACAGTAGTATGGTGTAGTTTTAACATGAATGTGCAGGATATCTTCATTGTCAAGCACAGACATGATGGTAAAATATAGGAACCCCAATTTGTATTTAGCGATTCTGTGCCAACTATGGCATATGAGTAAGAGTGCTAACTAAGAAAATTCCCTTATACTTCAATTTCAGACGTTTAAGTAGATGGACATGGTTTCATTTAAAGATGAGCCATGTAGGAATTCATAAAACTGTGTCATCTGCACATGTCTTGATGCATTGAGAGAAGCGTGGCCGGCTGATCTGAAAGTACATCTTACAGCTGAGTGCTCAGATTATGCTCAATACTACACTCCAATATGTACCGGCCATGGCCTGATTCAATTTAAGGCAGCACGCAGACTTCATCTGTCTAAAGTCTGAGTGTTTCCATCTATTGACGATTCTTGTAATGTATTTAAAATTCCACGGTGAAACAAAAGAATACATTTGGCTTTTCTAACTTTCAGGTTACTGGTCCTCCATTTTTTATGCTGTATCTAAGATACTAGAAAAATAAATATATCCAAATCCTCTTACAGAAAATTCTTTGGCATCCAATGTCAGTGTAGTAATTGATGACATCTACACATTTACCGTTTTTGTGTTTTTGTGTTTTTATATATATATATATATATATATATATATATATTTATTACAGTCTCCCTTCAGATATGTTAAGTNGATGAGGAGTCAATTAAGACATTTCAGTACATAAGCAGACCTACCTGAAGTCGGGGTCCCCCGTAGTAGATGTATCACATTATACAAGAGGCATTGTTTAGTGGTGATAATAAACAATGCCTCTTGTATAATGTGATACATCTACTACGGGGGACCCCGACTTCAGGTAGGTCTGCTTATGTACTGAAATGTCTTAATTGACTCCTCATCTCCTTTCACTGTTTTTTTGTTACTAGGCCAGATCTGTTGCTCTTCTGCATGACTACGCACTCACTTCTTATTTCAAAAACATCTTCAACACATTCTCTTGATGCCATACAGTACTATTTAAAAGTATTAAACAAGCAAATATTTGTTATTGTAATAATGTAATCTTCCTTGGTGTTTTGAACTAAAGAAATAATATCCTTTTCTTTCTTTAAGATATAAAAAGAAAATGGACAAATTAAAAGTTTCCAACATAAGTTATCGTGAGGGAAACATAGCTGTAAGAACCAAAGTTCCTGACTCTTCCTGAAGCTAGGGTAAAGGTCAGAGGATCCCTTAAGTCAGTATGTATCCCTTAGGTCGAATTAGCTTCAAAATTCTCAAAATTAAATGACAATCAAATAACTATTGAGAAATCTCAGTCTAAACCAAAGTAGTGCTTAAATCAACTGACAGATCTTAATTGCCTCAATAAAGCCACACTGCTAGTGTTGCCCAGTAAAGAGTAGTAAATTCAATTCTGATGAAAATGAGCATAACTTTTCATAGCAGATAATATCCACACATGTTTTCAACAAATGTTTTGATGCATCTGTTGGACATTTTGGGAACCGCAGCATTAGACAAAATCAGATATTAATGCTCCTGCCTTCAGCTACGATACTCATTGCAACACAAGGTTAAAATTAGTTATTTTCTCCCATGGGGCTGAATGATTAGCAGTGGAGCCATCTAGATCCAAGGTGACTCACATGTGTCAAACTCAAGGCCCGGGGGCCAAATCAGGCCCGTGGTGGATTTAATTTCGGCCCGCAGGATAATTTTTAATTACTATTCGATCTGGCTCGCCGGTATATTGCACGCACACCTTCACTCCATCCTGACGATTTCCTCAGCTCAGAGCCTGAGCCCAAACATTGATGAACTTGCACCCAAGATGAGATGCCAAGTATCTGCTTGAGCTAGCATCACAGAGCAGCACACTGAGTTTACATGGATGTTTCCTTCTGCACTTTTTACTTTTTTT